ACTGTAAAATTAGAGTTGTATTCAGGCAAGGCCAGTTTGTTTGTATAGCACCATTCAGTGACAATTCAAAGTGCTTTGCATGAATTTGACAATAAAATAGTAAAAAAATAAAAGTAAATAAAGAAAAAAAACACAATAAAACAGGCAGCAAAACAAATAAAGCAGTTGGACCACAGCCATAAAATAGTAATACCTCATTTAACAGTTTAACTTCAACAGTCAAAGGCAGCTCTTAACAAATGGGGTTTTAGATTTGACTTAAGTCAGGCTTACAGCACTTTTACAGTCTTCTGGAAGTTTGTTCCAGATAAGAGAAGCACAGGAATTACTGTAGATGCTGCTTCTCCATGTCTGGTTCTAGTTCTGGGTGAACAGAATAGCCTGGAACTAGAAGACCTGAGTGGTCTGGGAGGTTGATACAGTGACTTTGTGCCTGTGTGACTAAATTAGGCGATTTTTACATGTGACTTCTCCCTCATTTTAAACTTAATATTTTAAAAGTTATTTTTACACAGGCAGGATTGAACATTAACTTAAATGTAACCTAATATCATGAAAAAACAGATTAAATTTAATGTGCTTGGTAATTATAAAGAAGCATATGTGTTTAGATATTTGTCAAGATCATAAAACATTAATATTTGTAACTCATATCCTCATCTACTATTTGATTAAATATGGCATAGAATCCCTCTGACGGTATTGGAACAAGATATTAAGACTTTTAATGATTTCATGACTAGATGCTGCTGAATGAAAACTTATTCTGTTTGGCGAGTTTCTTAGAATTTTTTTAATGTTCTAACAAAAGAGAGTTTTTCCTCTCCACTGTCGCTACAAGCATGCTTAGTATGAGGGATTGCATTTGAGTCAATGAGTCAATGTAATCAAACGGTTTTCCTTAGATAGAAAACTGTAAATCAATTTGACCGTATGATGTGGTTGAACTGTAAAGTGAATGAGATGACTTGTGTTGTTAATTGGCGCTATAGAAATAAACTGAATTGAATGTTCCTAAAAAATAGTATGGATTTAATACTTTAATAAAAATTAGCTCAACTTTCAGAGGAAAATCTTAGGGATACAAATCTAGCTGCAAACCTGTGTTTTATATCAGGGAAGGTTTTATGAAACTGTTGTCATGTCAGTGTGAGTCTTAAAGAAATGTTCAATAATTTTTTAAGGCTTAAATGAAAGCTTAAGGTGGAGCAGAACGATATATGTTTTTAAAACTGTTCAACCTAAAAAAAAAAAACATCTCACCTGAGCAAAGTTTGTATTACAATGCTAAATTATGTTGTTTGAGGGAAACCAGCCGCTATAGCTGTTTCAGAGCACAAAAATCTTGCTCCATGTTGGCAGACCAGTTGAACGCACTCGGATTAGTTCACTATGAAAATGTTTACAGGTGCAGAGCTCCTAGTAAAATATAAATGAATAAAACCTAAGCTATTCAATAAATAAAGAGCAAAACATTTCTGAACACCTTATTTCCAGCTTGGATTTAAAACGTGTGTCCCACATGGCAGAAAGGGACAATTCCCTCTCCACCAATGCAGAAAGCTGACATTGTTGATAATGCATGATTGATCTGATAGGTATCTGTGCTGTATGGTGACAGTTGACAGAAAACACGATAATGACGAAATATCAATTTTTAAGTACCATGTAAAACTGCTTGTAATTGTGTGGGGCAGAATGACCTTTTGCTCTCCAACATCTACAGGATCGTGCAGAGGCTGGGTCACACCACTTACCACTGAGTCTGCAAGCTCTAATTCAGTTTTTTTTATTTGTTTGTTTTTCCCTGTAATGCTGCATATAGAGAGGTTTCAACCACATAGACACTGTCTGTGCAGAACTGCATGGCATTTTTCACCTCTGTCCCTGTGTCTGACAAGTTGAAACAATTTCCTATGTTTGACTTACTAGAGTTATAAAAAGTTACAAAAAAAGTATTCGACAAGTGTTTTACAATATAAAGAAAGCAGAGCCACAGTCATGATATTTCCAACTTGTGGACCATGCTCATTAATTATAATAGGTAAAGGAATTTAGTATAAATTTAATGGAAACTATTTTTAAAGTGAATAAAATGCAGCTGAAACTAAGATTGGAGTACTGTAGTTCGTAACTGAGAAAGACCGGTGAAATTGGATTGTCAATTTTTTTTTAAAAAGTTGTTGTTCCGCTATTCTACCTAATATGTTTTCTGTAATCCTGAGCTCCTACCATGGGTATTCTGTTAATTATAGTCTTTTCCTCTTGCTTTTTATACAGCCTGAGTTTCCAAACTGTGCAAACCAGACTTTTTTACCATGCAGTTCAGGAATCTAATTTAATATTTTCCCTAAAGAGGATATGTTTTATATTCTGCCACCATTTCTCTCTTCCTGTAGGACTCATGACATTGCTGCCAAGTTGCTCTATAGGTCTGACTAAAATAGACCAAGGGTCTGTCTCGGGTCAGGCTATGGAAACGGAGTTGCAGATGAATGTGTTGGGTGTTACCAGACCGATGCATTATCAAGGAGCTCCTATATGATCCGATTTCTCTTTGTATCGTATCTAGCGTGTTCAAAAGCACTTTGTGTCCTAAGCCCTCAGTGTCTTTTTTTCTGCAAACTCACTGTAGATAATGCAACTACCGGTATACTGCAATTTAGTTCAATGCATTAGAGGTGCATCTTTACAAGAGTAGTGGTATTGTGACTTTTAATTGAGTGTACTTTATATAAAAGTATGTTTAATTTTCCCATTTAATTTTTTTTATTCTACTTGCTTTATTTCGTAAAAATACTACATATTAAAAAATGTGTTATCCATACTCTCACTAGGGAGGAATATTCTATCATTCATTCAGTAATCAAATAAAAACTCTTATAAAACAAAGCCTGCAAAAAAAGAACAGCTCTCATGGGATTCACAATAATTAACCTGAATTTGTCATTTTCGTATTTTCTGCTTCAACTTAGTTCACTTAAGTAGTATAGCAGTTTTTGACTTTAAACATCCTTTTAAAGCTAGTAGATCCATGACCTTGGTTACAGTGTTTTTGGCTTTAAAAAGCACTGGGATTACATGTTTGGCAAATATATGCATCAGTTGCTCTAAAACTCAGGCACATGTGATGCCTATGTATGGCAGCCACGCCTCTGTCAGTGTGTCCAGGGCAGGCGTGGCTAAATTTAGCCTACCGCCAACAGTGTGTGAATGTGTAATATATGCGTCAATGGCTCAATGAAATATAGCAGGGCTCGATGTTGACCATTGCCCGATCTCCCGGGGCAAGTAGTTTTTATTGTAGGGAGAGTACAAATTTCATTGCATTTGACTGCCGGGCGCCATTTTTGTTGTTTTGTACACATTCTCGCGTGATTTGAAAAAGTCGCGTGACTTGAAAAAGCCGGGTGATTTTCCGCCAGATGGCGTGATTTTTGTCCACCTTCTTCTGTCTTGTGATTTATCTTAAGTTTTTAACCTGTCAATTTTGTTTTAGATTTTTAACATTACTTTTTATATTTTTCCAAGCACATAACAGTTTAAAGCAAAGAATGTGCAGGAAGGATTGAAAAGCATGTTAACGCGGTAATGTAGACTTGAGTTCATTATCTGACACATGCACACCAGGAACCTGTAAACTTACTGAAAAACATTTAAAAAAACAAACATGTTTCATGGATATATATACAAAAATGAATATTAGGAACTATATTTATCAAACATTATACTGGGCAAGTAAAAATTGTTTCTGGGCAAAGGAAATGTGAAAGTCACTTGCCCTTTGGGCACTTTACAAGTGGTAAAAATCCTTAATGTCAACCCCTGTATATGGTAGCTAAATTGGCGTCCCATGACTTAAAAAGGTGCTATTAAGGTAAAGGGCAAAAGAATAGCCTAGCACAGAACAGGAAACGTCATCAGGCCAATGTTCTGTGGTTTACACTGATCTACAAGCTAGCCAGATCAGGCCAGCAACTTCAAAATCAAAGTTCTCTTTCTGGATAAAGAGGAACACTAATTTGTGAGAGGAGTAAAGGATGTTAAAAACCAAACATCCATCCAGCTATCTTTAACAAATTGTTCTTCAAGGTCACTAGGGGGCTGCTGCCTAACTCCAGCAGTTTTTAGCCAAAAGGTTAAGTACACCATGAAGAGCTAGTTAATCCATCACAGGACAACACACACACAATGATACCTAGGGTCAGCTTGGCGTCACCTGTTGACCTAATAGTCATGTTTTTGGACTGAGAGGAAACTGGTGTACCTGGAGAGAAACCAAACATGCACAGGGAGTACATGCAGACCCCATAGCTGACTCAAACACAGGACCTTCTTGTTGCTTTGCAGCAGCAAATAAAATAGGCCAAAGGTCCAAGGTTCAAACTGTGCCACCATGCAGCTGTAAAGAGAATCCATCCGTTATCTGAAAGCCGTGGAGGTCTTTAGGTCAAACTGTAACCCTCCTACAATATTGCTAGTGCGTGCATGACTCTGTGCTTTTGAAACAACGATCAGAGTATCAACAATCTATTATTAGCTGTTGGTCTTTGTTTGCATTTGAATAACGATGTTTGATCATAAATTATTTTTAATTATAAAGACTTGCTAAACTTTTGGGGGTTTTTTTTCTAACAGGATTATGGAGATGCAGCAGGATGTTTACTAAAAACATCTTTTCAGTCAATGGCAATGGCGAAAATAAAACAATTTATAAGAATTTACAGCAAACAATTATGAGGGGAAAGTTCATGATGGTTTAATTCTTTAAATAATTTTAAATTGTAATTAATCTTCTGCATTAAGGCTATGCACATGTTGGTTAACTCAGTTTCTGGGTTTAGTTCACTGATCTTTTCTCCTTTTCTTTCCTCTTTTCCCACCCATTTCCCCTCCATTGCTTTTATCACAATTACCTGTCCTCTGGCTTTTTCTACTTCCTGTCTTGTTTTATCCCCTATTCATCTTTCTCTGTCTTCACAATCATTCGCTCCCCACAGAGAAGTGTGATGAGGCTCTAGCCTCTCCGCTGCCTCACACGGCCTTCACCAGCTCATCTGTCTTCTCCAGTGGATATGCACCTGGATATGCCAAGCTCAACAGGAGAGGAGGTAGGAAACACACATCTATAGGACATTCAAAAATTCATAGGGAAGACACATCTACTCACACACAAACACAGAAACACACACGTCCCTGTACTCCCATAGAAATGAAAGTGCTGGGAGGGTTTTCTTTTCACATTTATTCTACACATATAAGAAACTAATAGTCTAATTTGGAAACATGTGCATACATCTTTATGAATGATATTACAGGTGGACACACTGTGAGATGAATGCTCAAACCTTTATAAAAAGACACGCTTCACAGTGCTCCACAGCTGGTCTTTTCCCCTTCTGCCTCTTCTGACCCATTTTCTCTCTTCTTTTGTATTCCACCGTCCCTCACTCTCCTCATCAACGTTTTAATCATTATCTCTGTGACTCAGGCTGAAGCTCATTTCCACATCGGTCCACAGCTAAGGGATATAGACAGACAATTACACCCCTTTATGTTTATACAATTAATAATTCATACTTTTTCATCTAATGTAGTCACTCTGCAGCTTAGGCAACTGAAAAGTGATGCAGACCTGCCAGATAGAGGCAAAGTAATCTGGGGGTTTAAGTCTCACCAATTGAATTAAAGCAATTAGAGAGGATGCTTCTTTTATAATATCTTATGCAAACAAGGTGCCAAGACAGAAATTAGGAAAAGGAGGAAATATAGACCCATTTGTCATACAGGTGGCTGTAGAAAAAAACAAAAATGCTAAATAATGGATATATTTATGTAAGACAAAAGTATACAAATATTAATAGTTACAGTATATGAACATTTTGAAAGACTTAAAGTATGAGAATAAGAAAAAAAAACACCAACCCTCACAAATCCCACTCCAGTCTTACACTTGACAGCACAGATCTTCTCAAATTTGAACATATTATCATATACCGCATATCTTTTTCATTCTAGATGTTATATCTGTAGAGCTTCTACTTATAGATCTTATAGTGAACCTGGAATACAGTTTTTTGCTACCTGCATTCTGCTTTCTCTCTTTCTTCACTTCTGACTGTTGGATCATTGCTCCACAGAGACCTTTCTTATCTTCTTTCTTCTCAGTAAAGACTTTCACTTTAATAGGGGCAATGGAATCAATGATGTCTAAAAATTTTATCGTGAAAGTTATCTGCCTGCTCATCTACAGAGTTACAGGACAAAGTGGTGGTGGAAGAGTCAATCTGGTTAAAGGTTTCAGTAGAAACGTCCTTAATGATGTATTTTCTCAAAATGTATCTTTGACTAACAGAGTCATTTGAAATTACAGTATGCTGTGAAAGATAACAGAGAAATAGAGGATCAGTTACAGATACATTGGAAATGTTTAGACCCTTTGTGATGATTGTCCAAAATACCTACCTTTTTCTGGTTTCGCTGTTTAACATATTGTCTCTGTCAATGTGGGAAAGTATCATGAATTAAATACTGATTTAGTAAAGGAGGCAGCAGAGGCAAGCTTTTTTAAATAAAAAATGAGCGTGTTTTCAATGGAACTGGGGAATGTCCTTAAGACATTTGTGGGTGGCAACAAATAAAATTGTCGAAAAGTCTTAACTATCTCTGCTGTAAACTTCCTTAAAGCTGGACCTAAGGCTGCACTTATCATGCATTTCATTTTAACTAGCAACACGTCCGTTAGCCTATTCTGCATTTCCCAGTAGGCTTTATTTTTCCCTTCCTCATTGTTGCTGCTTTTAAACAAAAATCCACAGAAAGGCACCCAGTTTAAAACAACAAATACGAAAGACATGGTGTTTCTCACTCCCCATTCAGGCAAAAGTAAGTAATCTAATTAATTTCAGTTTATTTATATTGCACCGATTAACAAAATATATAATCCCAAGGAACTTTCCAGAGACGATTCAATATCAAGATCATACTGTCAGATTGGTTAAAAGTTTCTATGTACAATAAGGAGAACCAGCTGATTGCATCGACTCATTGACTCGAAAGCAATCCCTCACACCAAGCATGATTGTAGTGACAGTGGAGAGGAAAACTACCTTTTAAAAGGAAGAAACGTCCAACAGAACCAGACTCTGTGTGAGCGGCCATCTGTCTAGGCCGGCTGGGGTTCAAGGAGACGGAAGCAGAGATACAGAAAGAAGCAGAGATACAAAAGGTAGCTGTCAACCAGCTACACAGGCGGCCCCGTCCAGGAAACCCAGCCAGGCAGATGAGCTCTGAGCCAGCTCCCATGTCAGAGGATGAAAGAGAGCATATCCAGCCAGTAACAGTCAGAGAAACAGGACAACACTGAAAAACAGAATGGTTTTACAGCCAACTATGATGAGGAAAAAGCAGAGAGAACAATGAGTTATGGGCTGAACTAACAAATACTTCAAAATTAGACAATAGAGGTTAAACAGCATGATGAAATTTGTAACAATGTTTGCCACACTCACTTTTATTTAGCACTTCATGCCACAAAAAACAGGGGGTATCTTTATGGGCATTGATTTAGCAGATTTTCATAGAAAATTAAGTTGCAATTGAATGCCAATTTGGGAACAGAAATTGATATTTAAGGGTTATTTTTATTATCTTTCATTACACCTTTGTGTCTTTCATTGTCTGTGAGCTAAAACATAGAAGAGACATGGAAATGTATCATCTTACTCCAAAAGGTTCATTGTCTTTTGCAGTGAAATACTTAAAGGTATAATAGAGGATTTGAGCAAACTTCACAAAAATACCTGCACACTTCACTTGTAAATAAAATGCACATGCACAACCCTGCACCCGCTCCCGAGAGGGACCGTCTATTAGACGCATGCAAAAGCAAGCACAAGCCCATTTTTCTTGGTGCACGCTATGTTTAAAAGTTGCTGTTTGCATCTCTCATACAAGCTTCCTTTTTAAAAAGAAGCACTACTTGTTATTTTTACTTCTATCTAAGCAGCCATGTTGAGTTTGTTCTTATGAGTAATTCTCCAGTTTCCCACAGCCATAAAACGGGGGAGGCAAAAAAATAAATAAATGATGTACAATTAACAGCTCAATGTGCTATAGCTCCACATATTTCCCTCCATCTCTCCATGCTTGCATGATCAACATCAAACCTCCACAGCTGTCTTGCTGAAAACTGATTCAGTGAGATTTTTTCTTGTCTCATATTTGTCTCATATTGTAGACAATAGTAGATACCTAGATTAAATAGCCAAAAGTACTGAGAGACTAGTGAATGTTAGTCATGTGATTTTTGTTACATGGGATTTATATGTAGTTGGGACACCCTTGGCAGCCATTAAAATTATCTGAGGAGTTTATTCAGCAGCCATAGTAATGTAATTACATAACTGTTGTAATAATACTTGAGGAGATCAACGTGAAAATCAGTCAACAATGTTGGATAAACTTGTGGCATTTGCTTTTTTAACCTGGTGCTCCGAGGTGTCCAACAGGTTGAAAGCAGGCCACTATAACTGACTCCCCCATTTCCTAACTGAGTCATGTTGAAAATCAAAGTCCAAATTGTTTCGATATATTTTGGATTGTAAAGCTGTACAGAATGTTTTAGTATGCTGCCACATGGACAACTTGATCTTTAAAACGTTTTCATGTATTAAGTGCAAACGTGTTAGCACATTCAAAGATGATCTTTATGGAAGGTGCAAAGCAATTTACAGATGCAAAATCAGCAGTTGAAAAATGTGTTTTAGTCTATGTGCCTTTATGAATATGATTATCATATTTGAATGACCAAACCAAACACTTTTATGGGTGAAACATATGCAGATTTGAAGACTCAACAGCCACAAAGCTTAAGACTGCTTTGGGGTGCAGTTTTTTTGTCTATTTTTCAGCACGTTTGAAAGTCAGGTGCAAACTGGCAAACAGTCATTTCTACGGTCAATGTAGCCACAAGTTAAGCGTTGGTAAAATAGCAGATATGAAGAGAGAGACTGTGTACATGTGAGCACATTTGCACCATAATTTATAAAAAAAAATAGTGGAATAATATTAGTTTGTGAAAAAGACATCTGCACAGGTGGGCACTAATTCATGCAGTGGGAAGATAATATGCAATTAGAAGTACAGGTAATGTTCTGCTTTTTAAATGTTCATTTTTTTTAGTTATTACAGCACTAGTGGCTGTTTTTTGGACAGTAGGCTGACATGAAAGGGTGTATGAGAGAGGGGGAAAGACATGCGGCAAAGGACCACAGGACATTCGAACCCGGGTCGGCCGCATCGAGGACTAAGCCTTCTATACATGGGTCACGTGCGCTAACCACTGTGCCACCAAAACACATCCTAAATGTTAATTTCTAACTAGTATTAACAGGGACAAAAAATTACGTGGATAAAGTTATAACATTACCTGATCAATATATTATGGGAATAAAGTCAATATTATAATTGCGTCTCTGCTGTATAACTCTTGCGCTGTCAACCTGCATTGAAATGAGGACTTTTGAGAATGTTATGAATACTTTTGTATGGGCTTTTACAAATAAGGAAATATTAAACCTTTTTAATCCCATCAGTATCAAATTATTTTATGTTTACGTTTATGTTTAGTTTGATGACATTTAAAATATGCTAAAAAAAATATGCAAGAAAATCCTTTTCAGGATCTCATAAAAATGCGGGTTTAGGATATTACCATGTTATTAAAGATATGTATTTTGAGATAAAATGCTAGCAAGGATCTTCTGAGCATATAAGCATGTAAGACATAAATGCAACAAAGGATCTTCAGGAAATCCAATTAAAATGCAAGGGGATCACGGTTGAATCAGCTGAAAATATATGTGCTGGATTTTATCCATATATTGTGCGGATAAGTATCTGAAGTCTGAGTATCTGAAGACTAATCTAAGATGGCTTTCAAAAATCTGCGGATTTTAGACAGCCATCTTAGATTAGTCTTCAGGACAAAAACTATAATTATTATCGCATTTTAGTCATTACGATATGTGATAGTTTTAGTTGGTTTTAGTCTACTAAAACTTAAAAAGGTTTTAGTCTAGTTTTAGTCAGTATTACGTTGCAAAAAAGT